TCTCTCTCTCTCTCGCATCGGTACTTGTTCTTTTGTTTACTGCTTACTGTGCCATCTCTCTCCTTTCGCCCGTGTATAGAGGGTGGTACATGCGAATGACTAAAGGATAATAAAGTTAGGTTAATAAAAAAATAGTTAAGCAAAAAAATAAATGATGTCATACTTACATTTCTTTTTTAAATGTGAAAAAATTAATCAATCTAAATTTAATTTAAATTTGTTTGGAATATTATTTATTAATTCGAAAGATTTTATATTTAACAGGTTTAGATTTATGTTATTAATAAAAATACTGATTGAAAATATTTGATTAGATCACTATATTTGTAGGTACTAATTTTTTCAATCAAATTGTCAAAACAAAACAAAACAAAAACAAAAAGAGAATGAATGAATTATGACTATGGAGGAGCGGGTACCAGACAGAAATGACTGCTAAGAATCTGATGTGATCTTTCCCCACAAAGCACTTCCTTGCGGCCATCATTAGAATTTAGGCCTATTTTTTCTTTCCTTGTTTCCTCCCTCATGTTCCTTATTCCCACTCTTCTCGTTTACATTTTGACTGATAAATAATTTTTTGGGGATAATTATATTGGAGTTCCTCAAACTATAAATTTTTTTTTATTTTGGTCTTTAATACTTTAAGTGCATCATTTTAATTTTGAAATATTAAATATGTTTCTATATAGGTCTTTAAGCAAAAAACATCTAAATTATTAACTGTAATATAAGATTTTTTTAATTGTAAACTTGTCACGTAATACTTAAATATGGATAAAAAATAATTTTGATAATTCTTAAATAAAATTTGGATAGCTCCTGATAAATAAATGTGTAATATGATAGCTTTTGACTAAAATTTAGATAGTCCATGATCAAAACTGTGTAATTATTTATCTAAAATTTGAATAAAAATTTGGTCAAAAATTATTTAAATTATTTTTTTATCCATATTTATATATCACGTGACAAGTTTAAAATAAAAAATTGTTAGTAACCTAAATATTGTCTGCTTGAGGGACCATATAAAAATATATTCAATACTTCAAAGATCAAAATGATACAATTGAAACAATAAGGACCAAAATGAGATAAACTTCATACTTTGATGACCACCAACGCAATAAATCCTAATTTTTTTTAAGCTAACAAATTGTGAATGTATCAAATTGTTTATAATTTTTTTTTGGGTTAACAGCTTGTTCATGCACTAATACGTCTAATTCCAAGTTAAAATAAAAAAACTAAACCTCTAATTTATTTCGTATTTTGAATGAAGTTGCAGAGTGGGTTTTGATGCATATAAAATAACAGTAATGTTAATTGAACTTAAAAATTTAACCTAATTCAATGATTTAATAATATGATTTTATTGTAACAATTGATTTAATACAAATTCTAATGTTAGATAGAGATTATCGTTAATTCAATGATTATAGTGAATTAAGTCAATAAATTAGGTCACAAAATAACATTACTCGTAACATATGCAACATATGCGTAATGGCATTAATATTTATTGTATGTTTTCAAATTCCGTTAGGCTCCTCAATGATTATAAACAAAATTAAATAATCATCTTAGTATATTTAATTAGGTCACAAAAGGAATTAAAAGACCTTTAAATCATATTATAATTGGAGAGGGGCCGAACACAACACTCTGAAACTATCTCAGTGGAATAAAAAACTATAAAGACATAAAAAACTAAGGCAGCCAAATTATCAAACATAAAGATTAGGGAAGAAGAAAGGTTGTTTTTTGTATAAGATGCAAAAAGGTGGCTTTGAATTGTCCAAATTAGGGTTATACTTAGCCAAATTATACTAGGGGAAGCGATAGGCTTTTCCAGAACACCAAAAAAGATTGGAGGCCGAAGTGTAATGCCAATACAAAATAAAGGCAGAATATGAATAAATCCTTCAATTCTTGTGTTTTTGCTCTATTTTAACCATCATATTGTCTAATCAGTGCTTTTTCTCTTAGCTATATAACGCCATGCTTCCTTCCATTCCATTACCCATAAGTTGTCTCATTGAGGGAGTGGTGGTGGAAAGTTACCGTCCATTCATTCGAATGTCCCCTTTGCGAACCCCCTCCTTTTCTTTGATCAAAAAAAATAAAAACCTCTGTCTCTCCCTCTCTAACTTCTTAGGCTGCTGATCTCTAACTTGATCTGCGGTAGATTTTATGTGATATCTTCAACCTCGTTCATGTGATTTGCACCGTAATGTTTGAGAGTTTATTGATGATTAACTTGTGAAGAGAGCTTTCTTCAGTCCACTCATGGGTGGCGATAGGGTTCAGTTAGCTGCCGACTCATTCATCCAAATACTGAGTTAGTGATACCCAGTAACTGAGTGAATGAAGCGGGAGACAAATTGGATCTTAAGCTTCCTATACTTGGACTGAAGGGAGCTCCCTTTACTGTTTTCGTATCTTTGGACAAAACTCTTTATGCTTGAATTATATCGAAGAATCAATATGTCATGAATCTCATTTTTCTATGTTATGTTTTGATGCTGACACTTCAGATCAGTAGTCTTCGAAACTCTCCATAGTTTGATTAGTTACTTTGATCCCTTTAAGATATACTTTCGGTACCATTGGTTGGCTTAGCTAGTTAGAAAGATAGCTTCACTATTGAATGGATGAAGGTATGCGTACTGTTTTGAGTTTCGCATTTTGGATTATTTCTGAACTTACAGTTTTTATGTGCAGGATCACAAAATAAAGTTCAGCTAGGGTTATTGTTTCGTCGCTTTGAAGCTGTGATGTCCATAAGAGGAATCTTCGTGCCTTTTTATTGATTGGTGTGATAATTTTAGTTTGTGTTGTTGGTGATATATACTTTCTATGCCTTCGTAAAATTGTGAGCTGTTGGATCTTGGAAGTTGGAAGACTGGTGCTAGGGTTTTGACAAGATGGGTTTCTTGTTATGCTGATACGCATGAAATAGAGAGACTCAGAAAGCTCACTCCACGACAATGGTGGCTCTTGGTATTGTGCACTTGCTGCAACAAGTTCCTAGACATGTCTCCCAGTTGGTGCAACTACCCAAATATCCTCGGTTTTAGAATTTCTAGTAAATAGTAATAATTGGGAGATTTTCTGCCCATTTCCAGTTTCTGTTCGAACTTTCTGGTTTTAGTTTGATCTTTTTTGTATATGAACAATGAATTTATCGAGGTTGTGAAGTGGATTTACATCGCTTTTGTTTCGAATTATTGAGTAATCAGGGCAAGTGAAAATACAGTATAATAGATGGGCAACTGTGTTCTGCTGAACATCTCTCAGAAGTATGAGAGCACGACTCTCAGAATCTATGAAGAAAACACATGGAAGTGTGATTGAGCCAAGAATTATAGTAGGTTAATTATCTAGGGTTTGTTTTCATAAACAACAGAAAAGGTTGGTTATTGATAGTTAGTGCTCTTGTTCTCATGGTCAGCGGGTGCCAAGTGCCCGTTTGCTGCCTTGTAAATGGTGCTTAGATACAGATTTAACATATGTTTTTGGTTTTGATTTTGTAAACTGCAGTATGATAAAAGATTGATTTCTCTTTATTCTCTGGGCCCTAATGCCTCCTATCCATATGGAAAGGTTTGGTGTAGAATGAATTGGATTATTTTTTTGGTCCCAATGTCTTGTCAAAGCATCATCTCCAAAGATCTTGAACAGTGAACTGTAGCATTACTAATTAGAGTTGTGAATCTGATTGATTGTTGGAAGCAACAGCAAATTAGGTATAATTTCCTAATGGTAATAGAATGATATTTCAAAAGACAAGGGTGGGAGTGGAAGGATGCACAGTTAATTTGTTTGGCGGTCAATTTTTTTATCTAACACGAAATCGATAACATGATTCGGGGAGAAATAAATAGGTCAAATTAAAGTTTAAAATGTATAATATGATTAATGGGTGGGTATTGTAGATAGATAATGATTACTTAAATGAGTATTTTATGTAAAAAATATGAATTATATAATTTTTTATAATAGTTGTTCTCAAATTAAATACGTTTTTATTGACACGAATTTAACAAGTATTAAAATTAATACGACACAAAAATAACGCGTGGCATGAAATTGATGGGACACAGGTTGACCCTCATTTGGCCTGATTTATTTATAATATAAAATAGAACAAATTTTATCTAATATTTTAAATAAATTTATCTAATGATCACTGATATTTTCTTTTTAAATTATTCATAATGTGTCGTGTTTTTAGTTATGGGTTATTTTTAGTATAGATATATAAGAACATAAAAGATATGAATTTAGTGTCTTGTAAACATTTGTAAAGGGGTTTAATTTTTCATCCATAAACAATTATTTAGTGGTGATAATTTTTGACATAACAAGAAAATATAATTTGAATTCGACACGAAATTATGGGTGAAGGTTGATTATATTTTCAACACGAATCTGTTAAAATACGAATAATAAATGAATTAGGTTAGAAACAATATAAAATTTATACATTTAACAAGTTTACTTAAATTATATAAATAAAATGTTAATTACTTGTTTTTGTTTATTAAATATTGACAATTATTGTATAAGTTTATTCACTATTATTATAATAATTATTAATTATTTTTAAATTAAAAAAAAATATGAATATAAATTTAATTAATTGATAATACATTGTATGAGTATTAGTAGTTTATATGACAGTAATTATGCTATTTTAGATGTGATGGTTGTGGTTAAGAAGGGTTGTTTTTAATTTCTTTGCGGTAAGAGACTAATTCAAGGAGGTACACAACTTAAGATGCAGTTACTCCATAGATGACAATCTCTTGGGGATGCAGAGAAGCCAGCATACCGGGTAATAAAAGATTATTGAAACCCCCCCCCCCCCCCCCCCCCATATGATCTGTGCATGCTTGACTAGCTGTGAGAGAGAGAGAGATAAATACATAGTTACAGTAGATTGAAGATAGAGCCATATTTTTAAATACATTGACATTCAATTCAAAAAGTACCTTGGCCGATATTCACAAAACATAGTTACAGTAGATTGAAGATAGAGCTATATTTTTAATACATTGACATTCAATTCAAAAAGTACCTTGGCCGATATTCACAAAACATAAATACTCAATCAAAAGTAAGATCTCGACAAAACCCATTAGCCTTATAGGAACTTACGAAGATTTCACATTACCAAATCATCACCTAAATGGAAATCTTGGAGGATTTTAAACGGGAGTGTGAGCGCTGACCTCTTGTCCTTGCTTCGAGTAGCATTGCCTTCAAAGTATTCTCATTCAAATCTGAAGGCATCTGTGAAGAAGACTCGGATATGTCAAGATCTTGGGATGGGAGTCTCCTTGTCCACTGTCGTACGGGGCTAGGATGACTCCTCCATCCCGACTTACCACAAGCAGCTATCCCATGATCATTTTCATGTGACACAATCCCACTTTCTGATAATAAATGACGGCTTCTAATTAAATTGCCAATTATATAATTTGAGTTTGATCCAGTAGTTCCATCAACTTTATTCTTCCTTTCAGAATTGCCCTCTTCTGTGGCTTCTTCACAAATTTCAGGCTTTTTGGAAATGCTTATGTTAACTGGGTTCCTCCCCTCAGTTTGCCCTTGTTCCATATCCTCAATCTGGTTTTTATTCTGATGATTTGATATGGCCCGAGCCATCTGTTCTTCAAACTTCACCTGTAAGCTGGTCGGATTTCGACTTTTGTTCCGTTCATGAGAGGAAAAGTTTCTCCTGGCATGATTTGGCACCACCATTTCTTCAATATGACTTTCAGCTTCATCTCCTTCGTGTTTCAAGTCACCATCATTAGGTTTGGTTAGCTCAAAACAATGTGAATCACTGCCTGCAGAATCATCTTCATCACCCTCATCATGGGGAGCACTAAAAGCCAAATTCAAAGGGATGGATTCCAGAGAACTACGGCGGAAGTTGGGATCCCGTGGCAATAAATTATCTCTGCTCTTGCAATCATTACTGTGTTTAGCTTGAAGAAAGGTCTCTACTTCAGCCCTCACCTTACCCACTACTGAGTTCTCTCCAAAACCATATAGAGGTTCCAGTTTCATCTGCGTCCGTTCATCAAGCCACGATTCGGATATATGGAGAATCGACCTATCATGATCAACCCTGTTGACCAAATCCTTGTCAGATTTCTGTCTCAAAGCATGCACTTCTCCTTCATAATCTCTTATTCCACCAGCAAACTCATCACAAAGGTCTTCCAACAGCTTTCGTGATTTTCTCTCTCTTTCCAGCTCTTTAGAGGAATTTGCAAGAGATGTTTTTACCTCATAAAGTTCTCGAGCTAACTTCCTGTGCAGGCTTTCTGAGCGTTTTCTTAACTTCCTTTCATCTTCAAGTTCATCCCTCACAGATTGAATTGCAGCACTAATTCGATCCTGTTCCTTGCTCTTCCTAATGACTTTGTATTCTGTAATTTGCTTCATCAATTCATCTATCTCAAATCGATCAGCTTGATGATCTCGAACCAACTCTTTGATCCTGGCGCGCGCATGGTCTAGCTCCTTTTTCAATGCCTTCACGACTGAAATATTGGACGCATGATGCTCTTCCAGGCTCCAGATTTGATTCAATACTTTCAGCAGTTCTGTTGATGTTTTGAGGCTATAACTCATCTCACCAAACCCTCCCTTGAAGTCTATAGAACTTGTTGGTGTGACAGCAGGGTAATAAGGTGCAACCTGCCAAAGAGAAACATGTGAAGCTATGGGCCAGGGGGGTAGCAATAGGAAATTGACACGAACAAAAGACTATGATGTATACCTCCATGGAACTACCATAACTGGCAGGAGATACAGGTTGTAAAGCATGATTGTTCCTTTCAATTGATCGATGATGTTGCATAAGTGATGCAGTAAGATGTTGCCTCAAACTGCTTGCACTTCCAGGCTAGCATAAACAACTTTGAACTTGGTTAACTTCCATGATCCATATTTTTTAGTGATGACAATTCGAAAAATTAATATGGTAATTCAGGAATTCTCCAACGAATTGTCAAGGGGACAGTTTGAACATGACAACTATACTTCTACACACGTTTAATGATTATTCAAGGATATTGTTGCTAGAAATAAGAGAAATCGGTATTCAAGCACACTGTTTCAAACTGAGATTAAGATGATGCTCCTATCAAAAAAATCAGTTTGAAACCCGACTCCAAAACATCTAAAGAAAGTAGAGCACCAATGCACATCCAGAAACTAGAACCAAAAAATTAAACTACAAAAGGCAACTGATTATTAGGGCAAACCATGCTCACTAAAATTCACAACATACCTATCAGGACGAGTTATCAGAGCAGAGAATAATAAAATCAACGTCAGACTGAAAAAACAATCAACAGGGGAACCAGCAATACTCATAGGGGCAAGGAAACTAGTAGGGACAGTGGAATTGAATAGCTTCAACAAAAGAATGCACTCAAGATACCAAATTGTGCCAACTGATCAACAAGAGCCATAAGCATAGGATGATGCCCAATCGAATACACAGATAAGTAGTGTGTGCTAATGCGAGCCTGTTTTCTAAAAAAAGTAAAAATTGAACAAACCCAGAAGAAAATTTTACAGAGAATCATCAAACTAACCACCCCAAAACCAAGACAATCAACTAATGAGAGAAGAGTATCAAATTACATATGGACCCCATTATCATCACAAACAAGCAAACTCAAATATTCACCTACCCAGATGAAAGACCAACCAAATCAACAAGAAAACCACCCAAAACCATATTTGGATAAACCACAAAATGCCAATCAATTTACACATAATACAAAGAATCGATATTTTATTCATATATGATGAAACGAGGGTTGAACTTGTACCAGGTTGGGGGAACTAGGTGAAGGATCAGGGAGCTCAAGACCCTCGTCCTTGTAGAGATGGTGGTGTCGGCGGAGTCTGGGAGGTGGAACAGTGACACCCTGGTGTATTTTAGAAAGTGGTAGATTGTACTGATGAAGTTCCCAAACGCTGGCAGCAAGTTTTCTAGCGGAAAACAGAGGGCAAATTAAAAGGACTGACCGCTTCAATGATGCTGCTATCTTGCGCACTGATATCAGCTAGTAGTTGAAGTCTCCATGGGGTAGTGTTGGAGTGGTGTGTCCCCCTCTTTTCCCCACTCTCCTCAACTTTTCCCCCAAATTTTCAATCTTTTCTGCTGGCCTTTCCCGACTTTTTTCTCCCCTTTTCATTGTCTAATTTCTCTCTCCACACACTCACACACACACACACACACACACACACACACACGGACACTCTCTCTCTCTCTATAAATATATATATGGACTTCCACTAGCCTTTTTCTGTCTGCCACATCTCGATCTGCTTGTTCTTCTTTCTTGTTTACTTTTGTGCCGTGAATTTGTGTACCTTTTCTGGTGGTGATGGTGGTGTTTTTCGTCGGGGTGTTTAAAGAGGGAGTGCTTGAATCATTCGTAGGGGCCCCATTGCCCATGTGGGGCATTGTACAGATGTAACCGTACGAATTTTTGGCAGTTTTGCATGCCAACCATTGTTTGTTGCGCTAAATTTAAGTAGTTTTGTTTATTTTATTTTATTTTTCAAGTACCAAGGCTTATGTTTAGTTTAGTACGATAGAAAAATATAAAAATTAAAAATTAAAAAAAAAAAAAAATATCATATTTAAAAAAAAAAATATGAAAGATAAAAAAATAGATGAATGAATTTTTCTTTCAACTCACCAAAATCAATCCCTTTAAAATTAAAAAAAAATGGATAAACAATTAATTATTTTTTTTATATATTCTTTGATATATACATATATTATATTTATCAATTATATATTATATATACATTAATTTTATATAAAAAATTTTAAAAATAAAAAATAAATTTTTTTTTTCCATCTTACCAACCACAAAAAAAAATTAATTATTTTTTATTTTTCATCTATCCTATCACCGCACAAAGGTAGCAAAATATATCATTTATATTTTTTTGTTTAGAAAATAAAAAGTGTATCTCTCATATTTTTTATTCTTCTTACTTTTCATCCTTTATAAAACCTTAAGAAAGAATGAGTTCTCCATTTTGTCTCATTATTTTGTGGTCTGTTTAGTATGAAATATGAAAAATAGGAGAAAATAAAAATTAGGATAAATAAACTCTTTATCCATGAAGGAAAGAAACACATTTTCTCTCCTTTTTGTTTGGTACGATGGATGAAAAGTTGAAATGATTGATTTTTCTTTGTTTAATATCAAAGTAAAAATAAAAGGAAAGAAAATAAATATGAATTTATTTTACCATTTTACCCTTAAATATACCAAGTTCTTTTCCATTGCAAATAAACTTTTCAATAAATTTTGGAAATAAGGCGGGCTGAAAAAACAAAATATTTGTGGAAGTTTAAGAAAAATTATTATTAAAACAATTAATTAAGCAATCCCAATTAATACCTACCCATTTCCACGTGGATAACATCTGCAAGTAAACCTCAAATAGGTAGAAATGTGTCACCAGTTAAAAAAAGGAAAATTTTTAACCATACCTCCTCTAGTTTATCATATCTTCAAGGACACCTCCTCTAATTTTTGAATCTTTAATGACACCCCTTCTAATTTAATTTAAACATCACTCATACCCTTTTCTATTAAACTAAAATTTCTAACAAAACAAATTCATCTAAAATACCAAAAATGCCCCTACATAACTTTAAGTAATTTTTCTACATAAAATTTTATTAAAATTCGAGCTGTTAAAATTTTAAAAAAAATTCATAAATAACAATTTTAGTAAATAATTTGTTAGTAAATAGTAATTTGTTATTTACTAATTCGTAAATTTAAAAAAAAATCGACTCAATTAAAATTTATTTTTTACATATTAAAATTTGAACTGATTTGAACTTTACCCGAGTTGTTAGTGCCGATTAAAATTTTCTTTCGAGTCGATTAAAAATTATATTTTTTTACTTATTAAAATTTCTGTCAATTAAAATTCGATTTATTAAAATTTAAGTCAATTAAAATTAATATATTTTTATATATTAAAATTAGGGCTGATTAAAATTCAATGCGAATTAATTAAAATTTGATTTGAGTTGATTAATAATATTTTTTAATTGGCTCATACAAAATTTTAATTAGCCCAAATTTTAATAAGTAAAAAAATATAATTTTTAATTGGCACAAATTTTAATATGTAAAAAAATAAATTTTAATTAACTTGAATCGAATTTTAATCGGTTCGAATTTAATTAGGTAAAAATAATTAGAAAACAAATGGGGTTATCTAGAGGGGATCTCATTGAAGATATGATTATCTAGATGGAGTATGAATGAAATTTATCCTCAAATATATCATGGGCAATTTAATAAAATTGCATTCTACTGAATATTTTTAATCTGATAGGGGATGTCATTGAAGATTCAAAAATTAGAAGAGGTGTCTTTGAAGATATGATAAACTAGAGGAAGTGTGGTTGAAATTTTCCCATAAAAAAAAATAGTGGAGATGTGTCTTGAAATGTTCTGCACACCTTTTAAGGGCACTGATGCAAGGAGGGTAAATTAATAAATTATTTTATTCAACCAAAAGACTGCCTGCCTTTCTCTCTCCAATTTTCCGCCCAAAACTGGGCGGATAAGAAATGGCGAGCGGGAGGGATTCATTTTCCACCGTCTTTTCCTTTCCATTGCCTTTTCCATTGGAACCAAACAGATGAAATACTTTCCCCTCCTCTCATTTTCCATCCACTCAACTTTCTTTGTACCAAACACACCATTGGTTAAATGGTAGTATAAATATCAAATTCACTTATTTTTTTATAGTATTTTTTCGGAAGAGAAGATGAATAACAATAACTCTTGTCAGTGTTGTATTTAATGATGTTTGTCTTCAATAAGAATAAAAGAGGAAAATAACATTAGTTAATCGATGATCAATGTAAAACTTCGTCGAATTAGCTATAATGAGTCCAAAAAAAAATAAATAACAACAGAATTTCAATTCTTCACCCCGTATTTTTACATGAATGCAGATAAAATTTGAGAATATATAATTTTACATTATTTCAAAATAATATTATCTTTGTCCACTATTAAGAGAGTATAACATGAGAGTAGGACAGATAATCAAGCTTCAACTGAGCTTATCGAACTTATTTTCTTAAACGAATTTAAAAAATTATTGATGTTCTGTTCATTTGGAAAATAAGTCAAGTCCCAACTTAGCAAACTTGAGTCGAGCTTTATACGTAAACAAGCGACCTTTATGATGTTGTGACGAACTTTTTAAATTTACTTTTTAAACAAATTTAAATAATTATTTAAATTTATCTCGTTTAAAAAAATAAGTTAAACATGGATAAATTTTGTACGGATCGAGCTCAAGGAAGTCAAATCAATTAACAGCCCTATAATTAGAGATAGGGATGTGGCTACAGCAGATTGGGTCAAGTGTGAAATCAAAGAAATTGACAGAAAGGAGAAAATTGATGGTTTTTTACCCTCAGTAAATCACAAAATCCTAAGATTTACCTCTAAACATAGAAACAAAAAAACCTACCTGAACGCCACCCACCCAAATTAGAATCCAAAGACATTTGTTTTTTGGGTTAATTTCATTTTGTACCTTAAAAAATTGTTCAAATCTCAATTTACATCCCTAAAGATCAAAAATCTTAATTTATACCCTCAAAAATAGAAATTTATATCAATGTGCATCCCCAAAAATAAAAAATCTCAATTTACACTCTCAAAGATAAAAATTTGTATCAATGTGCACCTAAAATTAAATTAATAAATTATACCTAGATCCTCTCATGTTTGTCACTTAATCATTTAAACTCTTTCACATTTAGAATATTCCCCTTACATCTTATGACGTTTGTGCATATGTAACACATAACCACTTTTCGTTGATATCTGTTAATATAATCGTTAAAAAATATCATTTTATCCTAATAAAAAATTATAATTTCATATTACCTTTTATTTTGTGGATTCGATATACTCTAAAGTTGAAAATCAAGCTTACCATTTGAATGTATAATAAAAAGGATAATATGAAAAATATTATATAAATATTTACATTTTATTAGACATTCAAATGGTAAACTAGATTTTGAACTTTAGAATATATTAAACCCATAAAATAAAGGGTAATATGAAATTATAATTTTTTATTAGGATAAAATTATATTTTTTAACGGTTATATTAATAGATATCAATGAAAATAGGTTACGTGTTATACGTGCACAAATGTCGTAAGATGTAGGAGTAATATTCTAAATGTGAAGAGGTCTAAATAATTAAGTGACAAGTATAAAGGGTTCTATGTATAATTAATTAATTTAGTTTTAGGTGCACATTAATACAAATTTCTATTTTTGAGGGTACAAATTAAAATATTTGATCTTTGGGATGCACATTGATATAAATTTCTATCTTTGAGGGTGTAAATTGAAAATTTTAATCTTTGAAGTACACATTGAAACAAATTTCTATCTTTGAGAGTATAAATTGAGATTTTTGATCTTTAAGGGTACAAATTGAGATTCGAACAATCTTTCAGGTATAAAATGAGATTAACTCTTTTTCAGAGGAACATCTCCCCATCAACCTTGTTATTAACTGTTCCAACATAGTCCTTAACGTGGTTTTTTAAAATATAGTTTTGGTAAATAATTTTTGAACCTGGGGGGGTATATAATAAGAAATGAAATCTAGTTGTGTCACATGCCACATATTAAAAAAAGCAGGACTCCAGGTACAAATGAATTCTCAGAGGCATATTTCAAACATTTCTAACATGTTCTTTTTTCTCATGTACCCAAACGTCGACACCAACGAGCCCCCCAAATGCTACAGTGCTGCCAAACATTACCATGGCTCGTCATTTCATACACTATTTTCACAATAATTCTCAGATTAACCAATCATCTATCAGTATGCATATATTTGCTAATTTGTCCTATTAAACATCGTGGGAACAGGAACCAGCCATTCTGAACTCTCTTCCCACCCAACCCACCGAAAACCCAATGGGAGAGAGCAGCAAGACCTGATAGTCCAAATCCAGCACTAGACAAGTATGAGATGAAATAATACCAATGTCTACCTCTCTACTGAAAAATGGAAGAATGCTTACTTTTAAAGACAGTTAGGAAAGGGTACCCGTTTCATTAAACAAGAACATTATCAGAAGAAAAACTGCTATTGCAAATTTTATGAATGGCATTTCCTTTAAAGTAGGATTAATTGAAGAATAAAGAGAGCATGGGAAAAATTTATCACCACCACCTTGTAAAATCGAAAGATGAGGATGCTCAGTTAGGGTGAAACTTCAAGCCGCGGTTGGAAGCAAAAACCTGAGAAAAGCTGAAGGGGGAACTTCTTAGTCACAGGACATTTATGTGACCAATCCCATTGTTTCAAGGTCATATCAAACTCAAGAAGGGCTGTTGCTCCATAGCTCTGTATGTATATAAGATCACCAGCACCACTGCTTGCAAACACATCATCTATCTCTCCAAATCCTTGAAAAAACTTATGAGGCATTCGGGATACCTCTTCCAATTCCATCCCTCTAAGAACCCAAATGCCAATTCCCTTTATTATGCCTGGACGATCTTGTCTCCCTATACCTCCCACCATTACAAGCTTGTCAGAGAGGTTCATCAGCCGTCCACAAGTGACAAAGCAAGGAACTGGAATTTTAGTAGCAACTGATATATCCTCGTAAGATGGGCTACAAATATTATAAGTCAACAAGGCATGGCGATCCTCAGTCTCATCCGTTCCAGTATAATAAAACAGGGCATACAAAACCCCATCACAGATTACACTATCATATCCTGCTCTCCACCTGGTAAAAGTTTTCGCAGCAGGAGATTGCCATACCATTTTGTTTGAATTATAAATGTGAATCGAAATATCCCATTCATCCCCAGAGATTTGTTCCGATCCTACAATAGCAAGAGTATAACTGTGTGATAGCCAGTCCACTGAAAACGCAAGAGCTCTGTAATCAAAGAATCGGTCACCCAAAGGTTCCACTTTCTTGTAGTTCCTAGCAAGCGGGTTACAAACATATAGCTCATTCCTGCTATAATTATCCATGAAGCACACTAAACCAGAAGATGAAGCAATATAGCAGTTGTGCTTTACATTACAAGGGAGTTCGGAGCTGTACCATTTACGCAACAAAGGGTCATAGAAATATCCAACGGGTTCATCAGAGCTGGTAAACATGAAGTACCAGGGTTTCTGTGATAAGACACTTGAGATGTTCAACATAAATCTTTTTGAGTGCACAATCTCATTCCACTTTTTACAAACACAGCATGCTTTTAAAATGCACTCTAATGGGAGAGAGGCTATTATTCGTTCCTGAAGATCATCAGGGAGGATTGGATCAATGGGGACATGATTGCTTTCTTCATCAACCCTGTCAGTTAGCCCCAAATATGGATAGAACACACCAGTTCCCCTTGTATTATCATCAAATTCATCATCTGACCAGGATGTTTCTACCGCCATTGCAGAGTTTAGGGAATCCTGATACACAGTGGATACATCTTAAATAAAATAAATACGGGACACACGAAGGGAGGGACGAGGGGAGACAAGCAATTCCTGTCACTGAAGGCCATTTCTGAACCAGGAAACCTTTACATGCTTGTTTAAACCTCAGATGTCTTAGTATATAAAGATAAGACTAAACAGGTCATAACATATCACGATTTTACATAGGAAATCGTAATATATGAAATGCTACAAACAAATTGGGAGAAACTATAACACAGGAATTTGAGTTCAGTGTTATCTTGTTAGCCACAATGGCTCGTTCTCAACCAGAAGAAGAAACTTAGCATACAGCAACTTGCAGACACCATCCATTCCGGAGAATGGATCAAGAAATTCAAAAAAAATAATGAAAAAATCAACAATAGAGGTAGCATTAAAACATCCAAATAGGCAAATCTTTACGAATTGACTCTCATTTAGTGTCCCCTGTACCGTATAAGCCTGGAACCATTTCCAAATCTTATACACAACACAAGGAATGAAATGAACTTTGTTTCAAAACAAAATTCGATCAAATTTGTTATATCACAAAACCACCACCATGACAAGAAAAGGCAAACTTTCCATTATTTGAACAACAAAACCTTAACATAGTTTCATGCCAAGTTTCCAAAGTGTGAAATTAGAATATTAAGATCAGTTAAGAGAACACAGAGAATCACACATAACCTTTATATCAGCCTAAGAATGAACACCTCAAATTCAACAAAACAACTGAAACCACAAGGTGAATTGGAAATTAAAACATTATACAACCTGAGTCATAAAAGAAACCTTCGATGGAAAAAGATCAAAAGAGGAATAGTTATTCTCTGTCTTTTCAATTCTGTGACCACATAAACGCACCATACATACCAAAACTATATTAAAGATACACCTGAAAAAACAAACCTTGTGGGAAGTAGAGGTATAATTATACTCTTTCCTTTCACTTCTAGGACCAAATAGGCATCCCCGCCCATCACAACAACGTCATCTAGATCGAAATCTTCAGAGAACAAAAAAGGTGAATTACAGAAGAAAACAGAGTATATATCTCTATCTCAATCGTAAGAGAGACCCATCAAAGAACATACCCTGATGGAAGCAGAGACGTTATTATTCCCGTCTTTCACTTCTGTGACCAAATTGGTGTCCCCGCGCCTATCATTAACCACCAGATTCAGATGAAATCGAAGGATTTCGGGAGATATATGGGGTACCCACTAACTAATTCACAAAGAAATGGTGTGTTGGTGACAAAATTGAGCATAACATACACCAATAACTACGTTTATGAAGAACAACCGCCCATTGTGACCCTAATTAAGTACTCAGAGAGAGAGAGAGAGATAGCGATTTGGGTTTCGTTCTGTTTCAATGAAACAAAACGACAGAACAGTTAATGAAATGGGTGGCAGTTTTCTGTGGGTAAGTTTCACTTGGAGTCATTATAGGGCGGCGCCGCGTCAGGCCGGCGAGCTAGAGATGTGGTGGAGAGAGAGAGACATCACAGATTACAATTAAAACAAGGGTGCAAGGGACCGTTTAATTGGAAACAAAAATGGTAGAAAATCGAAAATGATAGAAAGTGTGGGGGAAAAAAAGGAAAAATTAAATAAATTTTTTTTATGTAATTATTAAGGATTAAAATTTTATGGGGAAAAAAAAAGAATTGACCCTTAATTTTAATCTTTGATGTGTAATTGAGTTGAAAAAATTAATGTGGTGCTGAATAAGGTTGAAATCGCATTCAGATTGAAAGATTAAGAATTTTATAATTCAAATTAACTCTCGAGTAAAACTGATAATTGAGTCGAACTTATTGAGTTTATTTTTTTAAAATAAATTAAAAAAATTATTCAAAACGAGTCGCATTCATATTGAAAGATTAAGAATTTTATAATTTAATTTATATTCAAATTAACTCTCTCAAGTAGAGCTGATAATCAAGTCAAGTTTGTCAATCTCAATTTTTTTAAACAAATTTAAAAAATTATTCAAACTTGACTCTTTTTTTAAAAGAGTCGAGCCCCAACCCAACTCAAAACAAACGAAACCAAAGCTGAGCCGAGTAATTAACTATTTTATATATAAACAAGTCAAATTTTACAAATTCAAGTAAGCCTTTTCAAACTTATTTCTAAATGAGTCTTAAAAGTTGATTAAATTTAACTCATTTAAAACACGTCAAATTTGAGCCGAACAGGTTACCAAGCTGCTTTTTTTTTTAAAAGCAAATAGGGTATTCTTTGTGAGTTTTATATATATATATATATATATATATATATATATATTTAAAATCAATAGGTAATAAACTTCATGTGGGACGACAATGATCAATAATAATTCGTTAATTATGATGTTATGTTATTATATGCGTATTTTTAGATAATGAAAGTTTTGAAATAATGAAAAAGAATTTAGTAAAAAATAAATAATAGGGTGAACGGTTAAAAAGGTCTGGATAATACAAAAATGGTACAACATATAATGACCGAAAACAAGTTTTGCTACCCAAAACAACAAAAACAGAGCCTACAAAAGATTTTAGATTAGAAATAAGTAAATACTTCATGCCTTTACTTTCCTTTTTTCTCAAAGTTGAGTAGATTTGTTGATACTTAACCACAATATATGATACATGTGCGTGCAGGATTTTACACAATATAAACACGAGAACAGATCTCTCTTGTGGTGAACTCGAGTCAGTCAATCGAATGGTCAACTTGGTTGCTTAGAACAGACTGTGAGGTTCGGTGGTGGCTTGGAACGGTAATGGGTGACTTTCGTAGATCAACGGAGCGGTCCAATAAGGCTGAGGGAGGTTCCTGAAACAGAGAAAAATGAGTTAGGAGGGCGCCAGAGTGTTTTTTGGCGTATCCCCTCCGACGATCAAGTCAGTTCTTTGAGAGAGGGAAATGAGAAAATACTGTGTATTTCTTTGAGAACAAGTTTTCTTTGTTGCATCCTATCTTGTCTTTTATGAGGAGTACTTGTACCTCAAAAATTCATGATTGCTGTCAGTGTGGTCAGTAGGTGATCATTAGATACGGGCAACGTGCGCACTGATTCTTATGAAGAATGTTTTCTCTCTTAACTGCTTGGGACTCCGAGCAACCAATGCTTCGTCATCGCCCTGCCGAATGTTTAATGAGCTTCTCTCCGCAAAGATGTAATAAATGCCTAGTTATAGGGACATTTATTACTTTTCACTTCTGAGCCTTCCTACATTAAATGATGTCTCATCAAAAGAATGGTGAACTAAATGCTTGCTTTCCCAAGTCGTGTGTCAGCAAGGACATCTCGGTCTTTTTGTCTCTGATCTGACACAATATACCACGCGCCCATTCCTCATTGGTTGTGTCTTCTGTCTTCTCGTGCCTTCTGACACTAATTGTGTAAGACAAGGTCATGATGACTAACCTAGCCTAGCATAGGTTAGTGACCTATACATCAATAGCCTCTGCAGGAGCAGAAAATGCCAACCTGGATGGGTACATCTTGATACCGAGGGAGTGGTACATGTAGGGACTGATGTACCCATATATCCGACCGAAAGATACGTGTCGGTACGTAACGTACTAGATGTCATTGATCCCTATGAACAGTACCTCGGGGGAAGAGGGACTTGTGAACCGACGAGTACGTGTCGTGATCACATTAACAAGAATATACTGATGCCAAGGACACGTGTCTTCATCTTGGAGTATTTGAAAAATGTCCCATCAACTTCCCCCCAGCCTTCGATCTCCTAACACCGAGGACACGCGTCGTAAAGAGATGAAAGGTTCTGCAACTACCTCAACTACTTCATCATTGCCTCTAGCTGCTTTCCCCTACTTAGGAGGTCGTGCGCATTAAATGCGCCTCTTCGTGCTTCGTGCCCAAATAATGGAAATGAGTATTATATAAATGAGCTTCCTTTCTCCCTCTCTCATTTCGCCATTTCGAACTTCTTCAGAGAGCCCTTGCCTGAAAACTCACCAGCGATCCCTTTCCTTTCGTTGTCTACTGCCCAATTTTTCACTGGAGTCTCAAGGCCAGCAGGCCCATCCTTGCTTCTGAAGATCCTAGGGGAGGAATCACTTCAAGTTTTCAAGAAAAACTTCCGTTTACGTTCTGGTGAGTCCTTGTATCTTCCCTCTCTTCGCCCTTCTGTCTCTTATTTTCGGTATCTCCTCCATAGGAAGTGTTCACTTATATGGCAAGGGGGAAGACGATGTGGGATGGAGGTAAATGCTACTGTATTGCCTTAGGAAAGGGTCGCCCTTCTGTCTCTTATTTTCGGTATCTCCTCCATAGGAAGTGTTCACTTATATGGCAAGGGGAAGACGATGTGGGATGGAGGTAAATGCTACTGTATTGCCTTAGGAAAGGGTACAGGCCAGCCAGAATATTTGAGTTCAAGGATGAGATCCGAATGCGCGATTTATACCCTAACAAAAAGGCGCATTTTTGTTGGTACAAATTCTTGCACAACTCAAGGATTTCGACTGACCTGGATTAACCCCTTGAGCGACCCCCCAATAGCCTTTTACCTCCATCCCACATCGGGTAAGAGTCATCTTCCCCCCCTGCCATATAAGTGAGCACTTCCTATGGAGGAGGTACCCACTAGGCACCTGATCAAGTGTTAGTGGGTACCTCCTCCATAGGAAGTGTTTACTTATATGGCAGGGGGGGAGACGACTCTTACCCGATGTGGGATGAAGGTAAAAGGCTATTGGGGGGTCGCCAAAGGGGTTAACCCAGGTCAGCCGAAAACCTTGAGTTGTGCAAGAATTTGTACCAACAATACAGATTAAAAAATATCAATGCAAGTTTTAGGATGAACAACTAAATTAATCGAATTTAAATTACACATAAAATTCACGGGCTAAAACTACGAAATTAGAGGTAACTAAGACATGAATCAAACGAAATAATGCGTAGATGGTAGAAATAAATTAGATCAAAACTTAGATGTGCAAGAGTTTCATGATTTTTTTCTTCCCTAGATTGCTTAGAAAAAATAATAGATTATAAGAAAGAAAGAAGAGACACGTATCGAAAGCACCCTCCGTGGAAACATAGCTATTTTGTGTTGTTTGAGAGAAGGTTGAGGGATTCTCGACACTCGTAACCTTGATGGCCTTATGTACTGTTAGATTTAAATGGTTATATTCTTGTAAAATATTATTTGGATTTATAAACATAAAAAAGAATAAAAAATAAAAGGGATTATGCCTTTCAAACCTTATTATTATCGAAACATAAACTAACCGAATCGTTTAATATGAAATTGAGGTCTTATGATTCGAAATAAGTTTGTAATGTTAATGACATCTATATTATATATGTCAAATTATTTAAAGAAATTATCCTTATAAATCATTAGAATTTATATGAATCTGTCTCTATTTAATTTAATGTTTGACGACTGTAAACATTTCCAATTGATTGAAGAGAAGCCAAAAAAAACATATTCATCATGGGCCATGATATTGCCGCATTGTCGTGGCCCTGAAGGCTTACTGTCGGCATAGGAAAAAGGAAACTGGCCCAATAACACATTGTCCAAATCAATTGCCATGAAATGCGGAAAAACTATAATGGGCTTTTCCAGATTAGCCCAACCCAAATCTTCTTAAGTGAGGGTTCGAGATGAGCCCAACTAACTTCTCACTAGTAATCCTATTTATTTGTTGAGTTCAAATCAAACATTCCCAGATATCCTTGATCATTGAATGAAAAAATAAAATAAAATAAAATCAAACATTAGGACCATTCCCAGACATACATTAGTTTTATTATTTTTATTTTCTCCATCTATCCCTATTGAAAAAAAAAACGTAAGTGGTACTAATTATGCAGTGGTTTGTGAGGCAATGGGTTTATGATTAAATCTGGTCTACCCCATTACTCTGATTTGAAGCCAATGTATGTCCATGTTCGAAGTGAGGCCCAACATTTTTGACAAATAATTATAAGCATAAGCGGTTATCTAAAATGTTAGGTTCGCCTCTTTCATTACTCAAAAATTTATAACTTTAACTCTAAAAATTGGTGCTTTTCAATACGATAGAAAACATTTTTCATGTTTCGAAAAGAGAAAAAAAACTGCATAAAGTCTTTATCTAAAAATTAGGCAAGTAATGAATGACTTTGAATTGTTGATAGTCCAAAATCCTATATTTCACATGTGACTGTCATGCTAAATATGTCCAAAATGGGCTATTTTTCCGCCTTGATGTTATGATAACAATTACGGAACTTGATGCACCAGACCATTATAAAGCATGTTCAACACGCAAAAAATATTGTATTGGGCAAAGTAAATGGGAAATTAAGCTTAGGAGGGAGTGACATGGTGATTATGACAAAAAATTATATAATGAATTTGAAATTTGTACGACAATCATATTTTTTTGGGTCATAAGTAAAACAATTCGATTAGTATGATATCTTATCAAATAGTTGGAAAATACATTCTTAATTAACTATGAACAATG